TTTTCAAATTATGTCTTTTTTCAAATTAAATTATATTTTTTAGTTGTTTAATCACCTAAATAAATTGAAATTTGCTAATATTAGAAATTCTTTTTTAGTTCAATATACAAAAACTAAAACAAATTGCAGCATTTTCTAAATATTAAATTTTTAAATTTGCATTAAAATTTATTTTTAAATGCGAGAATGATTTAAATCTATCACTGTTTAAAAATTTAAATAGTTTTAATGCTGAAATAATGTTTAAAACACAATTATTAAAATTATTTAAGGTGAAAAATGACCACACCGAATGTGACCAGTGCCCATACAGTGGATAGAAAATAATCAATTAAGTTCAAATTATGTCTTTTTTCAATTTAAATTATATTTTTTAGTTGTTTAGACACTTAATTAAATTGAAAACTGCTAATACAAGAACTTATTTTCTAATTCTATACACAATAACTAATACTAATTGCAACGTTTTTTTTTTAAAATTTTAAATTTGAATCAAAATATATTTTTAATTGCGAGAATGATTTAAATCTATCACTGTTTAAAAATTTAAATAATTTTAATGCTGAAATAATGTTTAAAACTCAATTATTAAAATTATTTAAGGTGAAAAATGACCACACCGAATGTGACCAGTGCCCATACAGAGCATAGAAAAATAATCAATTAAGTTCAAATTATGTCTTTTTTCAATTTAAATTATATTTTTTGCTGTTTAGACACTTAATTAAATTGGAAATTGTTAATACAAGAACTTAAAAAATTAATTTTAATGCTGAAATAATGTTTCAAACTCAATTATTAAAATTATTTAAGTTGAAAAATGACCACACCGAATGTGACCAGTGCCCATACAGAGCATAGAAAGTAATCAATTAAGTTCAAATTATGTCTTTTTTCAATTTAAATTATATTTTTTGTTGTTTAGACACTTAATTAAATTGAAATTTGCTGATACCGGAAATTATTTTTTAGTTCGATATACAAAAACTAAAACAAATTGGAACATATTTTTAATATTAACGTTTTAAATTTGAATTAAAATTTATTTTTAAATGCGAGAATGATTTAAAACTATCACTGTTTATAAATTTAACTAATTTTAATGCTGAAATAATGTTTAAAGCATAATTAATAAAATTATTTAAGTTGAAAAATGACCACATCGAATGTGACCAGTGCCCATACAGAGCACAGAAAATATTCAATTATGTTCAAATTATGTCTTTTTTCAATTTAAATTATATTTTTTAGTTGTTTAGACACCTAAATAAATTGAAATTTGCTAATACAAGAACTCAAAAAATAACTTTAATGCTGAAATAATGTTTAAAACTCAATTATTAAAATTATTTAAGTTGAAAAATGACCACATCGAATGTGACCAGTGCCCATACGGAACACAGAAAATATTCAATTAAGTTCAAATTATGTCTTTTTTCAAATTAAATTATATTTTTTAGTTGTTTAGACACTTAATTAAATTAAAATTTGCTTATACCAGAGCTTCTTTTTTAGTTCAAAATACTAAATCTAATACAAATTGCCGCATTTTCCTAATATTAAAATTTTAAATTTGAATTAAAATTTATTTTTAAATGCGAGAATGATTTAAAAATGTCACTGTTTAAAAATTTAATTAATTTTAGTGCTGAAATAATGTTTAAAACTTATTTATTAAAATTATTTAAGTTGAAAAATGACCACACCGAATGTGACCAGTGCCCATACAGAGCATAGAAAATAATCAATTAAGTTCAAATTATATCTTTTTTCAAATTGAATTATATTTTTATGTAGTTTAAACACCTAATTAAATTGAAATTTGCTAATATCAGAACTTAAAAAATTAATTTTAATGCTGAAATAATGTTTAAAACTCAATTATTAAAATTATTTAAGTTGTCCGAATGTGACCAGTGCCCATACAGAGCACAGAAAATATTCAATAAAGTTCAAATTATGTCTTTTTTCAAATTAAATAATATTTTTAAGCAGTTTTAACACCTAATTAAATTGAAAATTGTTAATACTAGAACTTATTTTCAAATTCTATATACAATAACTAATACTAATTGCAATAATATTAAAATTATAAATCTGAATTAAAATTTAATTTTAATTGGAGAATGATTTAAAACTATCACTTTTTAAAAATTTAATTTATTTTAATGCTGAAATAATGTTCAAAACTCAATTATTAAAATTATTTAAGTTGAAAAATGACCACACCGAATGTGACCAGTGCCCATACAGAGCATAGAAAACAATCAATTAAGTTCAAATTATATCTTTTTTCAAATTGAATTATATTTTTATGTAGTTTAAACACCTAATTAAATTGAAATTTGCTAATATCAGAACTTAAAAAATTAATTTTAATGCTGAAATAATGTTTAAAACTCAATTATTAAAATTATTTAAGTTGTCCGAATGTGACCAGTGCCCATACAGAGCACAGAAAATATTCAATAAAGTTCAAATTATGTCTTTTTTCAAATTGAATTAAATTTTTAAGTAGTTTAAACACCTAATTAAATTGAAATTTGCTGATACCAGAAATTATTTTTTAGTTCAATATACAAAATCTAATACAAATTGCCGCATTTTCCTAATATTAAAATTTTAAATTTGAATTCAAATTTATTTTTAATTGCGAAAGTGATTTAAAACTATCACTGTTTAATAATTTAATTAATTTTAATGCTGAAATAATGTTTAAAGCATAATTATTAAAATTATTTAAGTTGAAAAATGACCACACCGAATGTGACCAGTGCCCATACAGAGGATAGAAAATAATCAATTAAGTTCAAATTATGTCTTTTTTCAATTTAAATTATATTTTTATGTAGTTTAAACACCTAATTAAATTGAAATTTGCTAATATCAGAACTTAAAAAATTAATTTTAATGCTGAAATAATGTTTAAAACTCAATTATTAAAATTATTTAAGTTGAAAAATGAACCACACCGAATGTGACCAGTGCCCATACAGAGCATAGAAAATATTCAATTAAGTTTTAAATTATGTCTTTTTCAAATTAAGTTATAATTATTTAGTTGTTTAAACACTTAACTAAATTTTAATTTGCTATTACTGGAACTAATTTTCAGATTCTATATAAATAACTAATACTAATTGCAATAATATTAAAATTTTAAATCTGAACTAAAATTAATTTTAATTAAAGAATGATTTAAAACTATCACTGTTTAAAAATTTAATTAATTTTAATGCTGAAATAATGTTTTAAAACTTATTTATTAAAATTATTTAAGTTGACCGAATGTGACCAGTGCCCATACAGAGGATAGAAAATAATCAATTAAGTTCAAATTATGTTCTTTTTTCAATTTAAATTATATTTTTGCTGTTTAGAACAACTTTAATTAAATGAAAATTGTAATACAAAGAACTTAAAAAATTAATTTTAATGCTGAGATAATGTTTAAAACTCAATTATTAAAATTATTTAAGTTGAAAAATGACCTCATCGAATGTGACCAGTGTCCCATGCAGAGAATAGAAAATAATCAATTAAGTTCAAATTATGTCTTTTTTCAATTAAATTATATTTTTTAGTTGTTTTAGACACTTAATTAAATTGAAATTTGCTATTACTTAGAACTTATTTTTAGTTCTATATACAAAACTAAAACAAATTGGAACATATTTTTAATATTAACGTTTTAAAATTTGAATTAAAATTTATTTTTAAATGCGAGAATGATTTAAAACTATCACTGTTTTAAAAATTTAACTAATTTTAATGCTGAAACAATGTTTAAAACTCAATTATTAAAATTATTTAAGTTGAAAAATGACCACACCGAATGTGACCAGTGCCCATACAGAGCATAGAAAATATTCAATTAAGTTCAAATTATCTTTTTTCAATTAAGTTATATTATTTAGTTGTTTAAACACTTAATTATATGAAATTTTGCTATTACTAGAACTTATTTTCAAATTCTATATACAATTACTAATACTAATTGCAAACAATATAACATTTTTAAATTTGAATTAAAAATTTATTTTTAATTGCAAAAATGATTTAAAACTGTCACTGTTTAAAAATTAATTAATTTTAATGCTGAAATAAGTTTTAAAACTTAATTATTAAATCTAAATCTGTCTTATGATCCGAACATGGTTTTAGCAATTCTGAGAGCAACAGACCCTCTTTTACATCAGTAAACAAAAGCGTATGTGTATTTTTCATAAAATGGAATATCTATTTTACTAAGTATTAATGCATTTGAAATACTAAGTATTAATGCATTTGAACAAGGTTAATCTGACTTTTTAAATTTTAAGGTTTATTCTACAATTCTCTCTCTTTCGTCTTTCTTCTTGTTGATTTCTAATATGATTCTTGCTTCGTTGTTCTCATATTAAATTAATATTGAAATTATCTTCTTTATTTAAATTGCAGGATGGCTTTGGATGCAGTACAGCGTGCGCATTATGCTGAATTAAAAATATTAATGAAAAAGTTCGTAGTATTAGTGGTAATAATATAAGCTCTTCTCAAACAAATTTTCTCCGGACCAAGGAATGAATCTATGTTCAGTAGGCAAGGGTAGAGGTGATTTTTATTATTTTATTTAAATTATTTTATTCCTTTTTTTTTGATTTTTTTTTTTTTTTTTTTTTTTTTTTTTTTTTTTTTTGTTTCTTTTCTTTTTTGGAGTAAAATGTTGCGGAAATTGAGTACTTGAATTTAGCTCAGTTGTCGGCATGTTATACTCGGCAAAATGTCTGGAGAATTCTCAGCTTGATGATGAAGATGTCTTTATTGCTGGCCGACAAAGAAAATCAGTTCATCGTTGAAAGTTTTTTTGTTTTTTTTCCTGTTTTTTTTTTTTTTTTTTTTTTTTTATTTGTTTTTGTTTTTTTTTTTTGGGCATTATTTTTTTATTTTTTATGGCAATTAAAACTAGATTTATTAATTTTTTTGGAGGATTTTTGCTGTTTTTTTGACGAAAAAAAAAATTTTCCAAATTTGTAAATTTTAATGTATTTTTAATGTGAAATTTTTATTTTTAGTGATGGTAGGAAAACCCAAAAATAGACGCTTTGC